CAATAAGTATTCTGAATTAATTTCTTTAAGTTTTGATGATTTGATCTCTTTGCTGTCCAAGAGACTCTCAAAAGTCTTCACCAGCACCACAATTTGAAAGCTTTGATTCTGTGGTGCTTAGCTTTCCTTAGAGTTCAATTCTCACAGCCATGCATTGCTGCTGGAAAAACCATAGCTTTGACTATATGGATCTTTGTTGGCAAGATAACATCTCTGCTTTTTAGTATGCTACCCAGATTTGCCATAGCTTTCCTTCCAAGTGGCAAGTGTCTTTTAATTTCATGACTGCAGTCACCATCTGCAGTGATCTTTGGGCCCAAGTATATTAAATCTGGCATTGCTTCCATTTCTTCTCCTTCTGTTTATTTGCCAGGAAGTGATGGTACTAGATGTCATCATCTCAATTTTTTTTTACTATTAAGCTTCAAGCCAGCTGTTATAGTCTCCTCTTTCACCCTTGTTAAGGGGCTTTTTAATTCTTCTTCACTTTCTGTCAGCAGAGAGGTATCATCTGCATGTCTGAGATTATTGATATTTCTCCCAGCAGTCTTAGTTCTGGCTTTTGATTTGTCCAGCCTGGCATTTCACATGATATACTCTGCATATCACTTAAATAAATAAGGTGACAATATACAGCCAAGGGCAACTAGGTGACCGAATGAATAGAGTATAAGGCCTGGAGTCAGGAAGGCTCATCTTCCTGAGTTCAAATCTGGCCAAAGATAACTTACTAGCTGTGTGAGCCTGGGCAAGTCACTTAACCCTGTTTGCCTCAGTTTCTTCATCTGCAAAATGAGCTGGAGAAGGAAATGGCAAACTGCTCTAGTATCTTTGCCAAGAATACCCCAAATGGGGTCACAAAGAGTTGGACATGACTGAAATGATTGAAAGACATCACACAGCTTTATTGTACTCCTTTTCCAATCTTGAACCAATCCGTTGTTGCATGTTCAGTTCTAACTGTTGCTTCTTGACCTGCATATAGGTTTTCCAGGAGAAAAGTAAGATGACCTGTTACTCGCATCTCTTTGAGGACTTGCCACAATTTGTTATAATCAAAGGCTTTAGAATAGTCAATGAAGCAGAAGTCGATGTTTCTCTGACACTCCCTTTGAAGAGGTCTAGACTTTGGAGTGCTCCTGGGGGACACCCCAAGATCGCAGAGCTGGGCCCTGTCTGAATGAATTCAACTCAAATCTTCTTCCAGACAGATGAAAAGTTTATTAGTGATAAAACACTTAGGCCAGGTGACGCCCATAAGGACAAGAGGGCATGAGAAAGTCTCAGCCTTTTGGGCATGAAATTCTCAGCATCTGAATGGGGGCCAGGGTGGATCTTAAGTACTAAAGTAACTCTGGGTGGCCAGAGAAGGAGGCTGGGAAAAGGGTTGAGGTAAGAATTCTAATTGGGGAGGTCTGAGAGATTGAATAGACAATGGGAATAGCTAATGGAGGGAAGGAAAGGCATCTGTCAAAGGGAGATAAGGGGAGTCCTAAGGAACTTGAAAGTTTAAGCATTTTATAGGGCCTATAATGGAGGGAGCTGGAAGGCATCTTAGTACGCTCAAAAGGTGAGCCTAGGGTTTTTAAAGGGAGGTAAGGAGCTGGGGACTGTAGACAAGTGGGAGCCAGATTCCCTTTGGGTCAAAGGTTGGGGGAGGGAGATCTCTTCTTGAGCTCACCCCATCACCCTCTTTTCTCTATAATCCCATGAATGTTGGCAATTTGGTCTCCAGTTTCTCTGACTCTTCAAAACCTAGCCTACACTTTTGGTAATTCTTGATTCACATAATGCTGAAGCCTAGCTTGCAGAATTTTAAGCATAAATTTGTTGGTATGTGAAATGAACACAATTTTTTGATAGATTGAACATCTTTTGGCATTGCCCTTCTCTAGGATTGGAATGTAAACTGACCTTTTTCAACCCAGTGACTACTGCTAAGTTTTCCAAAGTTGCTAGCATATTGAGTGCAACACTTTAACGCAACATCTTTTAGGATTTTAAACAGTTCAACTTCTATTCCATCACTTTCAGTAGCCTTATTGTTAGCAATGCTTTCTAAAGTCCACTTGATTTCACTCTCCAGGATATATGACTCTAGGTCAGTAATGATACCATTATGAATTATTAGTGATGTGAAGATCTTTCTTATATAGTTCTTCTTTTTATTCTTTCCACTCCTTCTTAATATCTTTGACTTCTGTTAAGTCCCTACCATTTTTGTCATCTTTTATGCCCATTTTTGCCTGAAAAGTTTACCTTGACTTCTCCCATTTTTTTGAAGAGCTCTCTTGTCTTTTCTTTTCTATTTTTTTTTCTGTTTCTTTATATTGCTCATTTGAGAAAACCTTATCTCTCTTTACTCTTCTCTGGAATTCTGCATTCAATTGTCTATATCTCTCCCTTTCTCCTTTGCCTTTTGTTTCCTTAGCTAATCTATTTTTTGTGCTTACTTTAGGTTCATTTATTTATGGGCTTTCTAATAAACAAAAATGCATATTCAGTTCATTAATCCTCTTTTTCTATTTTGTGTGTATATGCATATATATGTGTATGTATATATATATTTACAATTATGATTGTCCCCTTAAGTATTGCATTAGCTGCAACCTCAAAAATTTGGCATGCAGTTTTATAATTCTTTTTACATCTTTGATTTATAATTGAACCTTTGTTGTTTAAGGTTTCATTGTTTAATCTCTATTTGGGTTTGTCTTGTTTATGGTCCCCAAAATAATGATTATTTTCATTGCCTTATCATCTATAAAGAGTGTCTTTTTCTGCCTTTTGACATTTGTTTACTATCTCTGTACTGGAATACATGGTCAACTTTTTTTTTTGTTTTCTTGGGGGTTTTTTAAGGCAATTGGGGTTAAGTGACTTGCCCAGGGTCACATAGCTAGTATGTTTCAAGTGTTTGGTCTGAGGCCACATTTGAACTCAGGTCCTCCTGACTTCAGAGCCGGTGCTCTATCCACTGTGCCACTTAGCTGCCCCATACATGGTCAATTTTAAAGCATCTCTGAGGTGCTGATAAATATGTATATTCTTTTGTGGTCTCATTTAGAAGATGCTCTAAGTATTAAATCTAATTTCTTCAGAAATTTGTTCAGTTTCATGTTTTTCTTTATTTCTTTTTTAAAAATATATTTTTTGGGGGGTGAGGCAATCAGGGTTAAGTGACTTGCCCAGGGTCACACAGCTAGTAAGTGTTGTGTCCAAGGCCAGATTTGTACTCAGGTCCTCCTGACTCCAAGGCTGGAGATCTATCTACTGCACCACTTAGCTGCCCCAAAAATCTTTCTTAAAGTTTTGGCCTTGGAGTCAGGAGGACCCAAGTTCAAATCCAGCCTCAGAGAGTTCACACTTCCTAGCTATGTGACACTGGGCAAATCACAATCACGATTGCCTCACCAAAAATGAATAATAGTTTCACAATTTTCTTATACTTCCCAAAGAGGTATCAGGCTGAGCAGAAATGATATGCAGCTGACAGAATAGTTAACAGGTCCAGAAAAGACACAAAACTAATAAAACAAGCAAAATTATAATAGGGACAATAAAGAAAGCATATATAGGTATAGCTTTAGGGGTGTCAAACTCTTAAAAAAGATTAAAAAATTAATCATTCCAGTGGTATGAATTGTCAAAGAGAATTCTTGTTCAACTAGGTGGATGAATTTGCCTTCATCATGCCTATCAGCCCTCTTCTGGAATTTTGATGAGGGATTCAAGTATATTATTTTTGAGATGATTCATGAATGATTTCCAAGGAATGCCCAAATCTACCGAATTATCATGCTGGTAAATCAAGATGCAAAGTTCTCTCTCTGGCAAGCATAGTTGATTATATCTCTCCAGATTAATCATCTATTAAATAACAACTACCTGCAAACAGGACCCTTAAGAGATTTTAAGGGAAGTTGATGTCATACCATTCTAGCAAGTGAAATTATTGATGAATAACATGTGTGCACATCTTGCTTCGACCATCATCCATGTGTCAAGTCCTTGGGTAGTGTCCACAATCTATTGCTTCAGGTGTCTGGCAAGTGTCTCCTGTGTGTCTCTCAAGCATCCACGCATATCATATTATTATTGGCTCTTCTAAAGGATTCCCAAAAGCACCTTTGACTGTCCAGATCTCCTGACTGTACTTGACCCAGATGGCTCTTTTCTGTAATTTTGATTTATTTAGATTCCCTTTTCACGGCTGGTGGAGCAGAAGCAACCAGGGGAGGCATTTTAGATGGAAATTGCTGGGTCTCTAACCTGCTGAGCAACAGCTACTTTTGCATTGCATATGATGGTTCAGCTCCTTCTCAAATCCATCAGGGCAACCTACCTACTCCTTATTGCCATGATTGTTGGGTAGTAAAAAATCAGGAGGCAGAAATTATCTCAAGTTTGTGAGAATTTTGTTGATTATCACATGCATGCGTGCAGGCTGAATACATTCATATAGGTAGCCTGCAAGAGAAACTACCAAATTCCATTCCGTTACCCCAGTTTTGATACCTTTGAACAACTGTGACCTTGTCTTTACCAAAAATCACTGCCCAGTTTACATAATATTGGCAGAAGTCCCTTTTCCTACCCTGAAGATATTTTATTTTTGAGAAAGTCCAGGTCTCCTGTACAAACCATCTTACAGTTTTATCAGCCTCTCCTATTTTCTTTTTCTGGTTTGTAACTTTGTGGGTTAGCACAAATTGTTTTCTCTTATAGCATTCTGTTATACACAAAAATTTAACCTTTCTGCTTTCCCAGAGTCAGACAGCTGGTCAAAATCTGAGGAAGGAGTCAGACTTAGGGCCTCCTGTTCTAAAGTCTGCACTGTACCAATGGATCAATCCAAATTTATTCAGTGACTGCTATATGCCAGGCACTGTGCTAGAAGCTTTCCAAATATTTTATTTAGTCATCACAACCCTGTTGTTTCCTCCATTATGCAGTTGAGAAAACTGAGGAAAACAGAGGTTAATTGACTTGACCAGGGTTCCAAAGCTAGTAAATGTCTGAGGCTGTATTGGAACCCAGGTCTTCCTGACCCCAAGCCCAGTACTCTATTCATTGCTGTCACCTAGCTGATAATAACAATGGATGACTTCCAGTAACATTAACTTGTGTCAACCTTCAGATATAAATTGATTTCTGGTCAGCATAACCTAGGTCCTGATTCAAACATTAAACAAATCTGGTCTCTCAGCAAAAGGTCTCGCTTCTCAGCCATGCAGGAATGTGTTCAAACAATGTTGTAAAGTTTTCCCAACAACATCATTTCTCTTCAGTTGTATAACAGGATTCACAATTATGTTTAGCATCATGGTTTCAAGTTCAACACTCCCAGTTACATAAATGGCATATGTCTTTCCTGAGGAGTCAGGTATTGTTATAATAAAGGTCTTTTTATCTTCAGATAAGTTGTAGCGATTGTAGCCCTGTGACAGTCCCAATGCTATGGAGAGAGAAATAAAAGGAAATTTTATTTATAGTATATATTAATATATTATATTATTATTTATTAGTCCTTATTCAGTACTTTACCGATTTCTCCAAGGTCCTCAGGAAATCTGAGATTCTCAGAGCTAGCAAGAGTCTTTAAATACTTTGCTATAGTTAGGAAAGGGGGTAAGCCCCAGACCTCTCTTTCTTTTTTGGGGGGGGGTTTGTTTTTTTTGCTTTTTGGTGAAGCAATCAGGGTTAAGTGACTTGCCCGCAGTCACACAGCTAGTAAGTGGCAAGCGTCTGAGGTCACATTTGAACTCGGGTCCTCCCAACTCTAAGTCTGGAGCTCTATCCACTGCGCCATCTAGCTGCCCCCCCCACCTCTCTTTCAAGCATTTCCTTTCATTCTAATGGGCCCCCACAACATGTATCTGCTCACAAGTAAATCACTCCCTGTCTTTTTAGCCAACAATTACTTTTCTTTGCTTTGGGATCCCCAGATTTCTCTATCTCCTGACCTGGGTGAAGGATAAAAAGTCTACTTCCTATCAACTAAGAACCATCATAGGCTAAATGCTGCTAGTTAATAAGCAAATTTTCTAAGTATCTCAAAGTAAATTGGATGGGTAAGATCCCTAGCCTTTACTTCTCCAAATTCCTTCATCCCTTCAGTTAATCCCACAAAGGTGGAAGAAAGACTGGGAGAAAATTTTGTCTACATTGGCCCATATGTTGACTGGAACAATGAATTCTTAAGGTAAAGTCAAATGCTCCCCAAACAGCAGAAGGCTTATTTCTTAACATATCTTTCTGAGAAATCTCTTTTTCTAGGCTGCCAGCATCTGAGTATCCAATAAAGTCTTGTCTTCTCACTTCCTACATATTAAATATACAGACAGTAGCTCCCATAGGGCAAGAGCCATTTTCTATAGCTGTGCCAAAGACAGGCCCCTTGATTTTGATTTAACTTCCAAAAATATAATAAGTTTATAAATATTGAGGGGATTTTGTAGAAGCCATTTGGTACAATACCTTTCTCAAAACCCCGTCCCTGCCCTGAGCAGAGATGAAGACACTTAACTCCAAATAAAAGTGAATTTTCTAAGGTTATATATACCCAGTTTGTACAAGGCCCCAGAAACAGCATAATGATCTGCACTCTGACTCTAGCTTTCTTTCTCCTAGGACTACTCCATTCTCTTTCTTATTTTAGGGAGGAGGAGCATAATGAGGCCTAGGCTGATAATAAATCTCTTTTTTGGGTATCCTTTCTAGATGTGTTTCACCCTTCATGAGTGAATGAAAAATTCCTTTTTATGCACCAATGCCAAGCACCATGCTCAGATCCCCTAATGCCTCCAACTCACCACAAACATAATCTTTGTATTCCTGCTTATGCCTGAGCAAAACTCCAGCCCAGGGAAGCTCAATGGGTGCCCAATTGGAGATCTGGTTTATCTAATGCAGACAGGTAGCACCTTCAGGACAGAGAGCTCACTGAATCTCATTGAGATTCCTTTTCTCTTTCCTTTTATCTTGGAGTAAAGTGTATCTCACTCTACTGGGCCAGGTAGTGTTCTAGTTTCAGGAATATTACAGGCAAATGGATCCACCTATATTAGGTATGGACACAAGGGCATAAGAACCCAACAAACAGAGATATCCTAGACCACATTTCCAATAACTAAGTTGCTGGCCTCCTAAAATTGCTTTGAAGAAAGCTTAGAGATTCATGGTTAAAGGGTGACACTTACTTTGGAAGTAGTATAAAAATTCATTTACCACAAAGTAATACAAATGATGAAACTTTGGACTGAAGAAATGGAAAAACTCATATTTGTAAAGCCTACAAAAAAAAGAAAAATCAGTTACTGACCTTAGTTAACACAAGTCATGTGTGCTTTCATGGTACTAGCTCTATAATTATCTGCTCCCTAGACAAAAACTTACCTTGGAAACAACACATCTGAAACCTGAGTAAATTCCTGAGGAAGAAAAAAAATAAGGTCAGTATAGTTCATGAATCAATTTTACTAAATGCCTAACCATGTCTATCTTCTAAAGGCCCACAGAATTTCATCCCTCCCTGAGCCTTCATTGCCATTTTCCTTATTTCACTGAACCTCAACTTGAAAAAGCAGGATTTTGGACAAAAACTGTCTGCCCGCACTAGGTGATGCTCGGGCAGCCCCTGTGTGGTGCTAGCAGAAAGGTGGCCAAGCAAGAGGTCTCCAGATGACCACACATTTATCCTTTTATATGATAAGGCCCAATAAGGTATATTCTGTTACACAGAGAAAAAAAAAATCAAAGAATTGATAATCATTAAAAGCCTTGTAGGAGTGAATGAACAGGCTTCTACTGAAGCCATCTGCCAGAGGAGCCCGGAAACCATGAATACTTCCAGTGCTGCTCATACCAGCTGCTGCAGTGTGATACAACCAAGCCAGAGGCACAAGATTCCTGAGCATGGACCCTTTGGAACACTCTGCCCCACACCAGCACACAGAGTCCTTCCCTGCTACTGTGAGACCAGACTGTCTGAAGGCAGACATCTCATCTCTCAGGAGTGACCTCTCTGCTCTTTTGTTTGGAAAGCACAAAGCACATACAGTACAGCAGGAGACAAGATCAGATCTCAAAAGAAACCCTGGGAAAGGGCAATGGAAAAAGATTCCATCAACTTCTTATCACCAGATACAGCTGGCCCTGGTGAGGCAGCGCTAGTCTCACCTGGATTACTTGCACATTTGGCTTCCGGACCTTTTCTGCCAACTCTTTGATTCCTTCCATTAGAATTCTGTTTTCTGTGGCTATCATGGCCTCCCATGCCTCCTTTTGTTTCATTATCTGATATTCCTGTGTAGCCTCCAACTCCTTCAGATGCTGATAGAGCTCCTGGACCTTCTTGTTCATGTCCCCCAAGATGAGTTCCTCTTGTAATGGCTCAGTCTCCTCTTTACTCCATATATAATTCTGTACTGCACAAATATCTTTGTGATACATTTCATGGGTCGTAGTTCTGGGGTCCTGCAGAGAAGGATGGCAGTCAGGTGATTATGTAGATATAGATATAGTTATAGAGTCATTTCAGCCACATTTTATATACATACCTATCTATATCTATACCTAGTGACACTATGGCCTCACCAAATCTCTCCTCTTCCTGCTCAATGTGGTGTAATATAAAGAACACTGGACTAAGGAGGAGTGAGAGCTCAGGATTCCAGTGCCACTAAGCTGTGTTTGACTTTCAGCATGTCACTTAACCTCTTTGGCTTCAGTTTTCTACTCTAAAATTAGAAAAATGATACCTATAGATGACATCTATGTATACTTTTCTAGCTCTGACTCTTTGGGGTTCTTCAGACAGTTAAGCAATCTGTTGTACATTGGTTTTTCTTCTTATTCTGAAAGGAGAAAGACCTTCCATTGAGTGTAATTCAAAGTTTGACATCTACCATCATAGTCATTAGAAGACACTTGCCTCCTTATCTATTCTAAATTTAGTTCCTCAGTTACTTGAGGAATCCCCTAAAAGTTCCAAAACCTAGGAAGCCTTCCTTCTTTTATCTCACTCTCCCCTTTGATTACTCTTCTGCTTTCCCAATCCCTCAGCTTGCTTAAGCTCCATGAAATCATGAATTTAAACCTGATTGTGAATTCCTTTACAATTATTTTTACTTTAGAAAGGGGTGTGTGTGTGTGTGTGTGTGTGTGTGTGTGTGTATTTAAATCTTGTCCAGTCAGTCCTTTCCTCAAAATCCTGCCATGGCTCCCTATTTTCTCTTAAGTATAATTAACATTCCTTTGCCTGGAATTTGAAGTCCTCAACAACCCATGTCTAGCCCAGCTTTACAGAGGCTTCTTCAGTGTTCATGCCATCCCTGTGTTCAGCCAGCTTCCCTGTTCTCTATATCATTGCTCATGTTATTCCCTCATGTCTACATTCTCAACATCGGTTCCTCCCAGCAGTCAATGCCCAAGTTCTGAAAAAATGTTGACCCTTTCATGTTATTTGTGACTTCCTTATTAAAGGAACTGAATGTCAATACACTTATGTTCATAAGAATTTCCTACCTAGAAATCTCAAATATTGTAAAAACTTGTGTCTTTAGTCCTCCACGATTATGTCTACCTGAGTTGGCCATGCTAACCTGAACTGAGCATGTCATTGCTATTATTAATGATGATGATGGAAAGATAATCTGATTCACTGTTTCCCAACTACTTTTCCAAGGTCAATCTGTTGGGGCAGCTAGGTGGCGCAGTGGGTAGAGCACTGGCCCTGAAGTCAGGAGGACCTGAGTTCAAATCTAGCCTCAGACCAAACACTTGATACTTACTAGCTGTGTGACCCTGGGCACTTAACCCCAATTGCCTAAACCCCCCCCCAAATAAAAAAGTCAATCTGTTACCAGGTCTCACAATTTTATTAGAAAAGATCCTCACTTCTCAAAGCTTGTCTGTCAACTCACTCTTTCTAGAAGACCCTCCCCCGATATCATGTTTCCCTACTCTGGTGTGGAGGGCTGTGAGGCTGGGCACCCACAGCTCAAAGGGCAAAAAATGAGAAGGCAGCTTCAGCTGCAGCCAGTCTAACACACAGCACTGGATTTGAGATCAGGAGACATTGGTTTGATTCAAAGCTTCTATGTTCATTTGTGCCATGAATTTGGAAAAGTGACACAGTATCTATGAGCCTCAGTATTCTTGCCTACCAGAAGGTTAGTGGTTGCTGTCCTTCCTTCTTGAAGAGGACCAAAATGACATCACCATTGTGGAGTCAAGTTTCAGCGTGTCCGACTATGGCTAATTAGACCAATACAAGCTCAGAATGCTCCATCACAGGTCAGGCACAAATAGTGCCTGTGAACATTTGGGGTAGAGGTCTTGTGCCAGTGCCTCCTATGTCAGCTCCAATGGGCTGGTCACATTGTTCAAATGCAAAATGTACACTTGCCAAAAAACTATTTTATGGAAAACTCCCATAGGGCAAGTGTTCACACGGCATTCAGAAGAAGTAGTACAAGGACACTGTCATGCCTACCAGATATGGTTAATGATGATGGCAGGATTGTAATAGAAAACATCTGAGATTAGGGATGTGAAAAATATTATGGAGGGAGACAGAGCAAGATACTTACGGTCCATACCACAGCCCACGTCACAGAATTCTCTTTCTCTTCCATAAAAAAAATCTGTCTCTTTTCTAGAGAATTATGAAAAGTTTTCATAAATGTCAGGATTTTCTTCTGTAAGAGAGACATGAATAAACACTTATTAGGATGTCTGTCCTTAGCTGAGGGCATGCAATGTAAAGGGCTGAGAAACTCACGAGCCCTGAAAGACCAATACTGTCTGGTTGATCTATTAAGTAGAGTGGTGCTGTTTGATCTCTTTTGATGGAGAGATGAGTACTCAGGGGGATAATAGCTCCATGGAATAGACTATTATGGAAATAACCAAAATGGGCATGAAGGGGTCACTATCAAAGAATACTTCAAAGCACATGGGGGATTTTCCATAATTCTTGATGACTCACCCTAAATTTCAGAGCAGCCACTGGAATGGGCCAATGTTTGTGGCTCCTATGATTGTCTGACTTAGAGCAGGTCCCACAGAGTAGGCTCTGGTTGAACTCACAGAGAAGTTTCTGGTCTTCCCTGTGTATCTCCCAGAAGGTTTCTCCTTCAGGATACATGACAATGTCAGCTCGAAGAGTTTTCAGCTGGGAGAATTGCCAGCATTGAGTGCAGCATGAAGATGGAGAAGCTTTGTTCTTGAGACAAGTTGGGCAAATGATGTGTCCACATTCAAGGGTGATTTGCTTAGGGCCCAAGTTAGGGCACATAGAATATAAACAATTTTCATTCAGCCTAAGGACAGACAATGAGACAAGATAAGAGTGTTTTCCCCACTCCCCCCCTTTTTTTTTGTTCAAAACAAACACACTTCTTGAAATAGCATAGTAAGCAAAATAATGATTTCCCCCTATAAACCTGGAGAAAATTGTCTTAAAAATGTAGACACCATCAAGACAGAGTGGGTAAAGTTCCCATTGTAAGAGCAGTGATAATTTACATAGATAGCATTTTAAGGTATTTCCTATACATCATTTTGTTTCATGCATCCAAATACCCTACAAAGTAGGTGCTATTATTTATTACCTGCATTAGAGATGGGGAAGCTCAGACTCAGAGGTTAAGTGGCTTGCCCAAGGTCAGAGAGCTAAAGCCTGAGTCTTCCTGATTCCAGGGCTTGCTCTCTTATAGTGGCCACCTAGCACTTCCTACTCCTGTAGATGAGTCAACTGGGATCAGAAGCTAGACCTTCTCCCTACCTGAGTCCCCATCTCTTCATTCTGAGTATTTCTCTAAAACTATACATTGTAGAATGCTTTTAAAACCTGCATTGATAAGTGTTAGACAGGTTGTTTCCTCATCTGAAGCTCCCTTCAAGGATGAAATTGTAGATACACATGCACATCAAAAAACATGAGTGAACTGGCATTTTTAAAAATAAAAGACAAACTTGCTATCATTAACTTTTTTTTGGGTGGGGGGGTTAGGCAATGGGGTTAAGTGACTTGCCCAGGGTCACATAGCTAGTAAGTGTTATGTGTCTGAGGCCATATTTGAACTCAGGTCCTCCTGAATCCAGGGCTGGTGCTCTATCCACTGCACTACTTAGCTGCCATGTCATTTTAAAACTACAGTTACTGACCCAGCTGTCTTTACTGTAGACATCATCACCCTCTGACCTTCAGAGCCCCAGATTCCTAAAAACAAGTTGATTGGGTGCAAAGCCCTAGTTTAAAAAATGGACACTGGGGATTGAACTTTACAAATTGGGAATGGCAAACTTGTTCTTTCTCTCCACTTGGCTTTACATACCCCTGATTTTTAGTAACAGGTACTTGACAAAGGGTTATTGGGTGATTATAAATATTTCTAACCCAGTTTAGTCCCCTAATCTCTAGATCAGGGGTGGGGACCTGCAGCCTGGAGACTTCTAGGTCTTTGGGTGCTGCCCTTTTAACTGAATCCAAGTTTTACAGAACGAATCCTTTTATTTAGAGGATTTGTTCTGTGAAGTTTGGACTTGGGCCACATGTGGCCTTCTGGCCATAGGTTCCCCACCCCTGTTCTGAACGCTTTCTCCTCACCCTTTTTCTGTATCATTTTCTCTCATTAGAATGTCAGCTCCTTGAGAGCAGGAACTGTCTTTTCTTTTGCTTGTATTTGTATCCCCAACCTACTTAACAAGGTATCTGACATACAGCAGGGACTAGTAAATACCTTTCTCAAGCTATAACCTGTGATCTTAGTCTTGATTAAAATTTTATTGAGGGATGATTTATAAAGGTTGTGTTTAGAATTTCTGCCTTTTAAAAATTATAATTTCTTTGTGTCCCAATCTACTTCTGATGGGGTGTGGCCCAAGCCAAGGTCTTTGCCCCTTGCCCTAAAGGGAATCTGGCTCCCCTTTTGTCAACAGGCCCCAGTCCCTCATCTCCCTTTGAAAGCTTAGCCTACCTTTTTAATTTCATTCAGATACCTTTCAGTTCCTTCATTATCTATTCCCATTGTTTATTCAATCTCTTAGACATTCCAGTCTCTGGGTATTCTCACCCAGACCCTTTTCCCAGACCCTTTTCCTAGACCATTTTCTCAGACCCTTCCCTGGTCACCCAAAGTATATAAGATCTACCCTGGCCCTCATTCGGGGCTGAGAATCTCACGCTCAAAAGGCTAAGAACCTCTCATGCCCGCTCATCTTTACGGGCGTCACTCGGCTGAGACTTTCTCATGCCTGCCCGTCCTTACGGGTATCACCTGGCCTATATGTTTTATCACTAATAAACTTTTCCTCTGGCTGAAGAAGGTTTGAGTTGAATTCTTTCAGGCAGGGCCTGGTACTGCGATCTTGGGGTCCCAGCACCCCAAAAGCCCTAGACCTCTTCATATGGTTTCCTGACCGGGAAACAACTGCCAAATCTCAAACTCTTCTTCAGCCATGACTGGTAAGTTTCCCCCTCCCCAATTCCACCTGATGTTCTCGGGCTTTTCGGTCCAGTGCCTCTGCTTGAGCACTTGGACCTGGGTATATACCTTCCTTAGCATAGAGGATGGACTCCCTATCAGGAAGCATAGGTTCAAACTTCTCAGTTCTCTCGGCGTTAGGGAATTGGGAAATTGTTTTTCTTTCTTTTCCTTTTGTTTCTTTTCCCTAAGCCCACAATAGGTCAATCCTTTTCATTTCCCAAGAATTCACCTTTGGGCTGTCTTTTACTAAATTGGAAAAATCTTAGCTTCTGTAAAGAACTTAAAAAGAAAAGGCTGGTGCATTTTTGTAACATCGTTTGGCCTCAGTATCACCTGGAAAATTGTGAGGCATGGCCCCTTTTTGGGACATTACAGGTAAAGACGCTCTCAGAGTTAGAAAAATATTGTCACAGAGAAAGAAAATGGGTGGAGATTTCTTACTTAATGGCTTTTGTTGGGCTTTCTAGAGATCCCTTTCTCAGAAAGGATTGTAAGATGCTCGTAGCTAGAGCCACCCCACTACCAGTGAGTGGGGATCAAATGGATCTTTTGGATGATCCTCTTAGGGCTCCTAGGCATCCCCCTCTTCCCAACCTCCATGGCACCCTCCCCAGCACCTATCTATACCCCATTCTCCTCTGGCCTCTCTGGCTGTTCCCCATTCTCCCCAGACCCCCCCTTCCTCTGGTCCCTCCATTTCCTCCCCAGGCCCCCACTCTAGAGGCTACTTCTACTCAGGCCTTGAGCGAGGGCCTCGCCCCAGCCTCTACTTCCAGAGAGACCCCAGCTCAAGCTCTGGACGAGGTTCTCAACTCGTTGCCTCCTCCCCAGACCTCTACTTCTGATGGCACTCCTCCTCAGGCTCCAGACAAGAGTATCACAGTGGCATCTTCTCCCCTGATCCCTCCCCCTCCTCGGTGTCAGGTAATCTTCTCCCTTGCCAGCCGAATTCCTCAGCCTTGCTAGTTCAGCTGGCACTTTCCAGTCCCTCACTCACAAGAAGTGGGACTTCCCACCTCTCTCCCCCACAAGCCCCTGCTCCTGCAGGGCCTTCAGGGATTTTTCCTTTAAGGGAAGTACCTGCCTCTCCTAATGGGACACTTAGGGTACATGTTCCATTCTCCATTTCAGACCTCACCCAGATTAAGGAAAGCTGGGTGGTACTCTGAAGATCCAACTAAATTTACTGAGGGCTTCAGGGATGTTCCCTACAATTGAACTTTCTTGGGGTGATTTGCATGTCCTCTTCTCCACCTGTTGTACCCCTGAGGAGAGGAAGAGAATCTGGGAAAGCCCAAAATTTTGGGGATCGTTTGGCTAGCAATGACCCCACAAAATACCCCCCAGGAACAGCTGCTGTTCCTGCTAGTGATCCGGGGTGGGATTATCAGAAGAGGGAGGACAGGGAAAAGAGACTACATGATAATTTGCCTCTTAGAAGGCCTGAAAATGGCCTTTTGCAAAAGATTAAGGGAATTACTCAGGAAGAAAAGGAAAACCCTGCCCTTTTGCAAGATAGGCTAGTAGAAGGCATTAAAAAGCATATGAATTTAGATCCTGACTCTACAGAAGGGGCAGCAATCCTTAGCATGTATTTCATTAACCAGTCTGCCCCAGATATTAGGAGGAAACTACAGAAATTGGCAATGGGACCCCAAACACCTCAGGCTCAGTTATTGGAGATTGCCTTTGGAGTCTTTAACAACAGGGACCTAGTTGCAGCAGAGGAGAAAGAACGCAGGCAGAGGGCTAGAGGCAAAGAACATGCTTGATTTCTGTCTGCTGCCATAATCAGGGAAAGACCCAAGGGTGTTCCTGGCAACTAGGGCAGTGGGAAAACCTGCTTTCAATGCCACCATGAGGGTCACTGGTCCAAGGAGTTTGCCTCCAGGGCACCCCCTCGGAGGAAGCCCAGCAACTTGGGCAGGGGAGGCCACTGGGAGGCTCACTGGTCCAAGGAGTGCCCCTCCAGGGTTCCCCCTTGGAGGAAGCCCCCAAAGCGGACACCTCCAGGACCTTGCCCAAGATGTGACCAGGAGGGACATTGGAGGAAGGATTGTCCCGAGGTAGGAAGTGTAGAGCACCCCCCAGTACCCTGTCCTCCAGTCTTCTCAAGACTGGGGAGGACAAAGGAACCTGGGTGGCAACACTCCCACTTTCTCCATCTCCCTCACCAAGCCCTGGGCAGAAATTGAGGCTGAAGGTAA